TATATATATATATATATATATATATATATATATATATATATATATTTGTTTAAAAAACATAACTGTACTGACTTGAAGTAACATGTTCACAAACAGGAGCATAAGTATCTGTAGAAAAAAAAAATTTTTTTTGCTTCATTCACCAGGTATGTTGGTGCGCTTGAAGGGGAGTATTATGCGGATGGCTTTCTTGGACTCTACAGGAACTCTGCTGCCTTCTGCATTCGAAAGTTGGTATGAACCCAACATTACAGCAGACGGAGAAGAAAGGGAGAAGGTCCGTAAGCGCCGGCCCGTCTCCGTGTCGCCTTCCACCTCCCAGGACTTCAATGAAAGCCAGTTTGCTGTGGTTTGCTCAGAGAAACAGGCCAAAGTCATTTCCCTTCCCTCCCAGACCTGCATCTACAAACACAGCATCACAGAGACCTCCTTCATTTTACGGGCAGATGTCGTTCAGATGAACCAAGGCGTGTGCGTGGCTTGTTTTTGTGCCAACGGCCACATCATGACTCTCAGGTAACAAGCAGAACAATCTGAAGCTCACGTCAGAAACCGTGGGTAATAAACTATCCAATATGTATTGTCAGAAAAGATCAAGTTATGAATGTTTAGGCAGAGTTGATATGACCTTTCCTCAGTTTCATATCTTATTTACTCAGGTCCTCTGGACAGATTCTTCTAGTTGAAACGTGTCTTTTATCCAAAAGACTTCTTCAGTCTGAGGAGCTGTAACAAACTCAGTCTTATAAACAGCACCTTCTCATAGTGGATCAACCAGTCTGCTAGTGACAGCCACAACTAGCTGTTCACATGCAAAAGGAGGACCAATGTGAACTAGAATGTCCCAGGAGAAACTTTGACGGGGACTGCCACATGGCAGCCATTTAAAATTTTTGATTTGACAATATGTGTTGGGGTTTGCTCTCAGCTACCAAAAAAATAAAAAAATTTCAACTCCATATGGCCCAAAAAAAAAAAAAAAAAATCAATGTATTATAGTCATTTTTTCTTCTAATCTATGATGGCCATCTTGGATTTTTGATCTAGATTCAGTTTGTGATGGGGAACATTCTCAGCTAGGACCAAACCAAATTTCAGCTCAATATCTCAATTTTGAGTTTTCTGAGGTAGCTGTGGCAGCCATTTTGAATCAAAATGGCTCCAAAAATTATTCAGCGTTTTGTTCAGAGACCTGTTCCCTCTAGGTCATGTGACCACACTGTGGTAGTTAGAGACTGTTGACTTCTGTCAGGGCTTTTCAATGAGAAAAACCGTGTCTTTGTTTGCAAACTACGTCACCATGGTAACTGAAAATGCCATTAAAAGTAATAGCACACATTACGGTGCCGAGCGGTCAGTTTCATGTAAAACTTGTGGGAGTCATAATTGCGGTTTGGGCCGCATTAAAGTTGAAGGAAGAGCAAGACCCTTTTCAGATGGATTAACAATAAAGCTGCATGCAGTCTCCAACAACTAGCTTTGGCTGTCACCAGGTTGATCCACTATGAGAAGGTGCTGTTTATAAGACTGAGTTTGTTGCAGCTCCTCAGACTGAAGAAGTCTTCTGGATAAAAGATGAAACGTTTCGACAAGAAGAATCCATCCAGAGCTGAGTGTTAGATTTATCTACTTGGATTATTGAACATGCATCAAAATACTTATTTACAAATCTTTTTTTTTTTTTATTAAGATTTTACAGATTTGCTGATTTATTTTCATGCTCACCAACAAGTAAGGTTTGTCAACACTGCACAGACCAACACCAGGTTGGTTTGTCATCCAGGGTATAATTGAAGAGGGGTGTATCCGTGTGTTTGTTGTCCTCATCAATCTTTATTTCCCGGCAGTGACAGAGACAGAACATCCGTCCATATGGGTGTCTGACAAAGCAAAGATGTCCAGCTGTCTCCTTGTCAGCTTGTGTTTCTGTGAATGTGCGGACGTGTTTGCTCCGAAAGATCAGTACTTGGAAGCTGTTCTGAGTTACAGGAGATTAAAACATGTTACGTGCAACACTGGCAGGGTCGTTTCTAATGATTCAAACTTGAATTCCCAGCTCTGCAGTTCTCATTTCAACAACTACAGTGACACAAACAAAAGTTAAAAGTTCTGAATCCTGATGATTTCTTTGTCTCCTGTTCAGTGTGCCGGGTCTGAGACCGCTCCTGGATGTAAACTACCTACCTTTGACTGACATGCGAATAGCCAGGACTTTCTGCTTCACCAACCTGGGTCAGGCCATGTACCTCTGCTCCCCTACTGAGATCCAGAGGATCACATACAGTCAGGAGACGTGTGAAAACCTACAGGTGAGTACATATCTCACGTAGGCCTGTCGCAATAAACGGTAAATCAATGAATCACATGATAAATGAAAATTATCGACCTCATTTTCATTTATCGGCTTTATTGTTTCTTCGTGTCTCTCTCTTTCTACTGAAAGGAGGGGCCAGTTGCTCTTCACTGGCCCCTCCCTTTCTCTTTAAAATCTGTTTTAGCGATACAAAATCAAGTTTTTGGATCGTTAAAATCAGCTAAGCTACGAGCTAAGCTAAAAGGCCGACCTCGGGAAAAAACCTGTTATATCGAAGCTTCAAAATTCGCAGTTGAAACCCGTGCCTTCGTGTAAAACGTTGTTTTTCTTTGCAAAATGAAGCTGAGAACTTGTTTATTGATTTTTTTTTTAATTTAAAGCTTTGTGTGAAAAAGGCTATGCTAAAGAGCTCAAACCACACCAAGCGTCCGCCATTTTGAGAACCGAAAAAAAGGAACGCGAGACAGCCCATCAGAATCAGAATCAGAATCAGTTTATTATCGCCATGTCAATGAACGAGGTTCACAAACTAGGAATTTGCTTCGACATAAGGTGCGAATAGTAATAAAGTAAAATTAAGTAAAAATTAAGTAAAAATTAAGTAAAAATGAGAACATTACATAAGACATAAGACCTGTGTACACCCACAAATAAAGTAAAATTAAAAACATAACATAACCACATGTCACATCAAGGGGCGTCCCTCCCATTTTTCTTAAAGAGACACGCTGCTCGCTCCCTCACTATCCATCCTTTAGTTCAAACAGTATTATACTGCCATCTGGTGATCGAATAAAGGTACTACACACAAAAAATTTTAACATTTCTTCTTAAATTTGACAATAATTATTTATTATTGTCAAATTTAAAACAATATTATCGTTTATCGCAATAATTTCCGAGACAATTAATCGCTCAGCAAAATTTGTTATTGTGACAGGCCTAATCTCACACGTACACGTCTTTTTTAAATACAGATTTACCAAAACTGCTCGGTGCAGCGGTGATAATGGCTCATTTTGTAAAATTATCTTTTGCTCTGTAGTGAGAGCAAAGAGCAGGTGGAAGAGAGCATGGAAAGGTGGAGGTATATTCTGGAGAGAAGAGCAATGAACACCAATAGAAGCTAGCCAGAATACAGGCAGGTCTAACTGTGAGGCTGTGAGGAGGATGAAGTAGATGGAGATGAGTGTCAGGGATGATTTGTGACAAAAGCTTAGACTGAAGACTGAAAGGGACCTGCCATGATGGATGGTTTGGGGGCGTGTGCTAACAAAAATAAGGGAAGTGGCAGAGATGAAGATGTTCAGATTTTCATTGGGAGTGATGTAAGAGAACAGGATTAAATGAGTATGTCGGCAAAGGCTAAGGACGGCTAGGTGGTTTGGAGACTAGTTGGTGAGGTGAAGCTGAGATGGTTTGGACGTGGATCTCTTGGATGAAGGATGCTGGATATAGAGCTAACAGGGGGGGGGGGGGGGGCGCAAGAGGAAGACCAAAGAGAAGATTCATGAAGGAGGGAATGCAGAGTTAGTGTGACAGAGGAGCAGTGGAAAGGTAGTAACGGAATACAGACAATTTAATCAAACTGAATAAATTCTTAGATTTCTCTTGTTTTCTGATTTTATTATTCAGTTTAATAAACCTCTCAAGTGTTACATGTAATTATTTTGCTATAAACACTGTGATACTTCTTTCCAACAGCTATTTTGATTTACCAGTTTAGGCATTTGTTTGTGTACTTATTAAATAAGCATGTAAAAAATATATTCTTTTGGTTCGTCTGTTATGGAAAGTAAACTGATGAGCTGTCTTTAAAGCCAGGGTCATAATGTCCCTTCACTGATACAAATATCGATACGTCGTCTGACCTAAACCAGTACTCTGACCAAAGAGGGGGCGTCCTTCATGTGCACTGATAAACTTTTTATTTATTCGTTTAATTTTTCTCTCATTTAAATATTATCATCACTGTGTTGCATTAGGCCTTCTCACCATCAAACTTCAGAATGTCTCGCCTCATGAGGTTTGCTTCATTAATATGTAAAAGTTCAGCTTCGAGTTTGTCTTATTCCTTTTCGCAGAAGTCGTGAAAGTTGTTTGAGTAGATGCACAATATGAAAGCAAGATGCATTGTATGGAAAATGAACAATGTAAATAAGTTCTGTTTGCTGCAGATGATATAGTGGAGAACACAAACATCATAGTGTGGTGTAATACAGAAATGCGTGTTAATATTTCAGGAGATGCTGGGGGAACTTTTTACACCAGTGGAGACACCAGAGGCGCCCAACAGAGGCTTCTTCAAAGGCCTCTTTGGAGGAGGGGCCCAGTCACTTGACAGAGAGGAGCTATGTATGTCAGCGACACACAGGAAATAAATTATTTCTGTAAAGTTCTGCCCTACAGGGGGATACAGCATCACGTTGTGCTTTCTGTCCTTTCCCACCTCACTCAGTCGGTGAGTTAGCAGCTGGGAAGGCCTCTCGAAGCCTGGCCCAGCACATGCCCGGCCCAGGTGGCATTGAAGGGATGAAAGGGGCCGCTTCTGGTGTGGTTGGAGATCTGGCACGGGCTCGGATAGCGCTGGATGAAAGAGGCCAGAAACTGGGCGAACTGGAGGAGAGGACAGCTGCCATGATGGCCAGTGCGGATTCCTTTTCCAAACATGCCCACGACGTAAGACACCTTTAAAATAAATAACATCTGGAGGAAAAAAGATGTCACAAAATCCAAGACAGCCAGAGTCATGAAAATACAGAGACATAGTTTGAACTGAAATGACATAATAACAAGATGTTGTCAAAATATAAAAAATAATGATCATTTTGTATTCTAGCTGTAACCATTTAGCTCTTGAACATCAGCAACTTGAGTTGAGAAAGTGATATTTTGTTTTGGACACGTGTGGCTTAAAATTAAAAGAATGTTCACTGGCACTCTTTGATCACTAGAGGGCAGTATAGGGCCATATTTATATTGAGCTTGTTCATGCTAAACCCTTCTTTGTTGTCAGAAATAAGACCCTCTAAAACAGTTTCCTAGAGTTTGATTGGTCTCATTTTGACATTCTCTCTTGCACTTTTGACATCATAATCAAATATTACTGAAGAAATTAAAGTGATAAAAGTACTTTACATTTAAAATAACATATTGGGGGGGCAGACAAGATGTTATCGAGGGCCACATTTGACCCCCGAGCCTTGACTTTGACACATATGCTTTAAAATATGTGAAGGTCTCATTTCTGGCATCATTAATAATTTGGCTGATTATGCAAATGTGTCACATATAAATATAACTAGTAGCATAACTTGAATGCCATAAAAAGATTTAGTAGCTGACATCCAACCTGAGCACGTTGTATATGATTTTAATGATGTCCTTTGTTTGCAGATGATGCTGAAGTGCAAAGACAAAAAATGGTACCAGTTCTGATTAGTGACCGGGGAGGAGCAGCGCTCCGTGGACTATAATCTGACTGACCTTCCATCGGCTCATTTAGACTCGCTGTGACTCCTGCTCATCCGTCTGTCCACCTAGCCGTCCCTCCAAGCCTCCTTCACTGAAACACTCGGGATTTTCTTCCCCAGCACAATGTTGAATACTGTTTTTACCTCAGTCTGAGGGTGGAACTGAGGGGTTGGTCAGGGGAGGTGACAGACAACCTTAAAGGGAAGGAACGGTGTCTTTTTATGTTCAAGTCTCTTCGTGTTCAGTCTCCCCTCCGAGGTAGCAGATTGACCCGAGCACCCGGAGATTCCTCGTTCTCATTCGCCAAAACGTCCTTCACAGTTGCCACTCTACGGCAATTATTGTCACCCAATATGGCTGAGAGTATCTAATCAAGTGGCTGAGTTACTATGATAGAAAAATAACATAATTTCAATAAATCCACATATATATATATATACATAGATCTAATAAATGTGCAATGTTGTATCTATTTGTAGACTTTTTGTATGAAAGGAAGGGATAGCTCATCGAGGTGGGTGAAGAGCGTGAAGAGAAAGGAGGCGGCGGTGGACCATCAGAAGAGCTGCGACTGAAGCCTCCGCCACGCCTCAAGTCACAGGGATAAAAGCAACTCACACTGACGTACGCTGGATATGTCATCATCTCGCTCCATGTCTAAACTCTCCTCTGTGTCTGAGGCTTTCATTTTGGTCCTAACATAAAGGGAGAGAAAAAAGCTCCTCCTGTTATCCATCTGTTTATTGTTTGTTTGAAATTTTTTTGCTTTGTATTATTGGAAAAAAATTATTTTTCTAACGTTGTGAAAATGGATATTTGATTTCTTAAATGTTTCTGTGACTTGCCTCACACAAATTGCTTTCTTCTTATGAAAAGGGCTGGAATATATGCGGAGGGCAAATATATATATAAAAAAAACATCATTTTTTCCCCCTTTTTTTAAAAAAAAAACGAGGATATTCGATGTGCACAAAATTACTGCTGACCTGAAGTCGATCATTATTTGACTTTTCTGGTGTGATGCTAACTGCAACAAACCTGATGTCACAGGCCTGTTCAGTTTGGTCAAGTGTGAGCATGTGGCTGTATATTTGATCACTTGATCACATCAGTGTTAGATACAGTGTTGTTCTCGCCACATTTGTTGGGAATTCAGGAGTTTCCAAATTCTACATATTAGTACTGTGCTGGCTTGCATAGAAATCTTAATAGTTTTTATTTATGAGAAACTGGAGTGCAATATTTGAAAAATGATGTTTTGTGGATTTTTGTTGTTCTGACAGACTGTGAGAAAACTGTGTGGGCTCTATCGTTATCAAATCAACAGTTCAGATCTTTTGAAGTAGGGTTGTGTAGAAAATGCTGACTTTAACAATTAATATCCTACTTGTGCGTAGCTCTTTGAACAGCGACAGTTTGGAGAAATGGCGTTTAAATCCGACTGGAATGACGAGTCACAAGCTAGTCCGACGGGGGTCAAGAGTGTATAGTTGCTGCCTTAAAACAACTTGTCAGTCAAATTTAATGGCAGTTCTTCTGAACAATATTTTATAAACCTTTACATCTTCATTCGTTTGTTTATTTCAGCAAAAATAATATGAGATTCCTGCTGGAAGTGCTACTGCTAGCTGCTGAAAATGCTATTTAACCCACAGTGTTAAGTGAAAGTGACGGCAGTGTAAAAGCATTTGCATGAACTGCTTTATTTATTTTTTAGACTGGAGTTGTTTTAGGACTGCAATACAGTAGTCCTTCACTTATCGCAGGGGTTACGTTCCAGACACCCCCACGATAGGTGAAAATCTGCGAAATAGGGACATTATATTTATTTTATTATTATATATATTTTAAAGCTTTATAAACCCTTACTACGCTCTTATAATGTTTTTAACAAAGTTCTAAACTTTCTAAATGCTCTAAAAGAGCACGGCGAAAATCAGTCAATCTACATCTTCCTTTCTCTTTCTGAGGCTTTCTGTTCAGAAGGAGAAAGGAGGGGCTGGGTAGGTTCTGTCTTTCCCCATCACTACTGCTCAGAGAGCTTCAGTGAGGCGGATCCCTGAGTGATTGGCATGGATTGGTTACTTATTTGTTTAGCTTTTGGTCCAGCCCCTCATCTATCACTGAGCGGGCCAGGCCACCGGGAAATGTTCCGGTGCTCCTGATGGCCAGTCTGCCCCTCAGCACAATACTCTGATTGATCGCCTTCCATCAATCAGCCAGTCATGTGTCGTGTATAATCTTAAGTTGAAAACCCACGGAACAGTGAGTCCACATAAGTTGAACTGCAAAGTAGCGAGGAACTACTGTATTCCCCTTTTTTGGCTGTACTTGGACTAGTCATTAGCATGTCAACCTACTGATAATTGACCTGTTTTTCCAAACAGGTTGTTCAAAGTGCCATCTACAACAGGTGAGATATTTTTTGTTCCTAACTTTTCCACAGCACCCCATTTCAATGGATCTGAACTATCCCTTTAAGGTTTCAATATTCCCCCTGATGATCACCGTGTTTATGTTGCCATATTTGCGTCCAAGCTCCCCTGTGTCGTGTCTCCGTCAAACCTTTATTTGTATATAAGTAAATAGTTTGACAATCTCCGACCAACGCGAAAGTAAACATTAAGGTTGCACAAGAAACAAAAGAGGAGACAGGCCATATTTTTTCTGACGCCAAAGAGTTGCTTTAGCTTTTCTGTTGCATTTTCACTTGGGTCCAGAGTCTGGGAACCATATGGCGCTCAGTAAGACATCAGTCTGTGTGCATCAGGTCAGCTTCATACATCTAGGCAGAGGATCAGGTTTATTTTGGAACTATACTGCCTTCGTTCCTTGTCAGAGTTCCAGAAATGGGAAGCTGTCGTGAATCACCTTTTATAAAATTCCAAGTCATTTCAACTAATCTTAAATGTTCTCGGTGATCAGTGCCGTCGATTTATAGGGCCGCTACATTAAATTGAGAACCACATTACACCTGATTCAGTATTATAGAATTTACAGACTGTTGGTGAGTCGGTCTCCATCTCCATCAGGTGATATAAGTTGGTTTGTTTCTGGTAGTTCGTGTCCCAGTCTGATCATAAAGTGGGTCCAGTTGAGTGTCTTCTAGATGACTGTAAATAAAGCTGCCAATGATCGAATAAAGATGATCAAAGAAGGACGTTTAAATTATGTCACTTGTCAGACTTTGCGGTTTAAAACTATTTGGACGTCATTTGGTTCCACTGTTCTGGTGCAGATTCAGCCTTTTCTGTGTTCAGTGTGAATGTGTGCAGGAAGTTTTGTCTTTGAAGAAGAAAAAAACAGCAAACTTCAGGAAAAAATAGCCCGTCTTTTTCTTTTTCCTAACTTGGTTGTGTTTGTCAGTCAGATTTTATTTTCCCCTCCATGTCCTGTCTGTTTTTTGTATGGTTTAGTTCCCATGTCTGAGTGGTTTGTTAGGTATACGGTATGCAGTATTAAATGAACCGACACGCTCCACACCAACGTGAGGGGGTCCTGTTTGCCACACGCCATCTTCTGTTCTGGATTCTACAGTTATCAGTGGGTTGCAGTATTTTTCTCATTGTAGCCAATCTTGTACAGTTTTATGCAAATTTCACATGGATGTTTATGGATTTATCTGCTGCCACAAAAAGTTTAAAAACTCTGTAGATAGAGATTACTGTGCTATGGAAAATAAAAGTGAAAAAAATTATTTTTGTCTGTTAATTTCCTATCTAGTTTCACATTAAAAAATATAGGCTTGTCTTTTTGGGTTGGTAGAGCTGCCGCCTCTCAGTTAGAAGGTCACCGGTTTGAATCCCGGCCAGGGACCTTTCTGGGTGGAGTTTGCATGTTCTCTCTGTGCATGTGTGGATTTTCTCCGTGTACTCCAGTTTCCTCCCACAGATCAAAAACATGCATGTTAGACTGATTGGTAACTCTAAATTGTCCCTAGGTGTGAGTGACAGAGATAATGGTTGTCTTGTTTGTCTCTGTGATGGACAGGAGAGCTGTCCAAGGTGTACCCCGCCCCTCGAACAGTGACTGATATGAGCATCAGTGACTCCCACAACCCCAAATCAATCAATCAATCAACCTTTATTTATCAACCTTTATTTATACAGGTAAATCCCATTGAGCCTCGAGGACTCATTTACAAGAGAGACCTGATTTCAACAAAGAAAGATGACAACAATGGACAACAGCAACAACAATAAGCAGTTATAAAAACTCATACTACAGTTTTTTTTTTTTTGTTTGTTTGTTTTAACAAATAGGATGGCTAAAAGGAAAAAGGTAACAAAACCAAAAAAACTGCTAGATTCCGAGACAAATGTATAAAACTAAAAACAGGAACATGTCTGCATTGGTCCCTGCCAGGAGTCCAACAGATTCTTAAAGCCACTTAGAGAGGTCAAGGTCGAGAGCTTCAAATCTTTTTGTAAGATATTCCAGGAAACAGGAGCGGAGTAGGAGAAGGCCCTTTTGCCTAGTTCAGTCCTCACTGAGGGAACACTGCAGGTAATGATGTCCTGAGAGCGCACTCCGTAGCTGCACTCACGCAGAGACATGTAGGAGGAGATGTATGAAGGCAACAGACCAAGAAGTGATTTAAAGATGAAAATGTACCAGTGAGAGAGTCTGCGTGAAGTTAATGATGTCCAGTTAACCAGTGCATACAGGGTGCAGTGGTGGGTACGATAATCACAGCCAGTTATGAATCTTAGTGCACCATGATAGACAGCATCCAACATCTGCAGGGTTCTTGTAGGAGCGTTCATGTAAATAATATCACCAAAATCAATTGAGGGAAGGAAAGTCACAGATACAAGGCGTTTTCTAGCATTCAGGGTTAGACAGGATCTGTTTCTGAAAAAGAAACCCAGTTTAATTTTCAGTTTCTTTACCAAGTTTTCCACATGGAGCTTAAAAGAAAGATGTGAGTCGACCAAGATACCCAAATATTTATAGGAATCAACAAACTCAATGGG